TGGACTTTCTGACCTGCCAGCCTTCCGCCTCTCCTTGTTTGTGGCCTTTCTGCTTATCTATCTAGTCACACTACTGGGTAACGGCACCATCCTTCTTGCCATAGGAACTAATTCTCAGTTGCACAACCCCATGTATTTCTTCCTCAGTAATCTTTCCTTGCTGGACATCTTCTGTCCCACAGCTACAGTGCCCAAGATGCTAGAGAACCTCTTGACAGAAAACAGTTCCATCTCCTTTGCTGGCTGTGTGTTACAACTCTACTTCTTGGTGGCCTTGGCAGGGACTGAGGTCTTCTTGTTGGCCGTCATGGCCTATGACCGCTATGTGGCCATATGCAACCCTTTGCGATACATGGTCATCATGAACAAGAAGCTTTGCCTTCAGATGACTGTCGGGACGTGGGTCACCGGCTTCCTCAACTCATTGTTGCACACTGTAATGACCTTCACGCTTCCTTACTGCCAACTAAACAAAGTCAACCAATTCTATTGTGACATCCCACCCATGTTGGCTTTAGCCTGTGCTTCTACCTATGTGGCTGAGGTGGTTATCTTCATCGTTGGTGGCATATTTGGCGTGGGGGCTTTTCTAATTACCTTAATTTCTTACACTCACATCATTGCCACCGTTCTGAGGATCCGTTCTGCTGAGGGAAAACGTAAGGCCTTTTCTACCTGCACGTCCCACTTAATAGTGGTCTGTCTTTTCTATGGAACCATCATCTTTACGTACATAAGACCTTCATCCAGTTACCATCCAGACCAGGATAGGCTAGTGAGCATGCTCTATGGGATGATTACTCCAATGTTAAATCCCTTGATTTATAGCCTTAGAAACAAAGAAGTGAAAAAGGCCCTTGAGCGCCTAATAGTTCATCAATTCCATTAACAGCAAAAGAATTTAATGAGGTTATTAGAAAAGATAATTTGTTTATCTTAGCTTAGCTTATTTGATACAAAGGTATGCCCAGAATTTTGCAACAAGGAGAAATAGGGGGCAATATGCTGTCTCTGTAAACCGCTTAGAGAGGGATAAGTGCTATTGCTATACGGCAAGTCACATTACCCTAACTGTTCTGGTTATTCTCTCTCTCACACCACTTTTTATTAATCCTTGATTGGAATAAAGTAGAAATGGGTTTTATCTAATGAACTGATGATGCCTCAACCCATGGTGATGGATGAGGTTATTCAATGGCCTCATTGGAAGGGTCTATGACAATTCACCACAGCCAACTCGCCATGGCCAATTTACCATGGCCAACTCAGTGTGACAACTGCGGACAAGAGTTTCACTAATGTCAAAGAAATGGCAGAATAAAATCATTTTAAAAAGGATGCAAAAGAAGGGACAGAATGAAATGTCAATGGCAAAAATTAAAACAATCTATTATTTATTTTAAATAATTAAATACAATTGTTACATTTTCTGGCAGCGAGTTGTCACATTCTGTCATAGGAATGGAGAAAGCATGTACC